GGGGGGGAGTGTATGTGTATGCATTGCATGTTTACATTTTGAAGCCCTGTCTTAAATATACAATTACTCCCCTGGTCGTTGTATTGGTACTACATTACGTCAGGTCACACACACAAAGGCTTAACCTCTGCTGTGTTTGTGTGTACACACACGGTGACCCCTGTGTCCAGACGCTGCGTCCAGGGAGTGGTGGCCTTCATTTGTTTGGACAGCAGAATTAATTGAGGCTAAAAAAACGGTCAGAAAATTCCTCTTGTATCAAGCTGTTCATTAGGGATTGCGCAGCAGCCCCGGGCCTGTCAGAAAAATAACCTGTCCGTCCCCTGATGAAATAGCTGAACGGATGGCTGGTCCACTGCCTTTAGAGAGAGAGAGGTTGAATAAACTTTCTATTGAGGAAACAATCCCAAAGTGACACGCTGCGAGGCAGGGGGGTTCGGAGTGTTCAACGATATCCAGCTGAGCTGTCAACTGGCGGAGGGCCAGACACGCAAACCCCCCGCCCCTCTCCCACTCCCAGTGCCATGTGAAGCATATGCAATTTAAAAAACCATTCTCCGCTCATGCGTGACTGCATGCTTCCCTCACAGAGAGGAGGAAGAAAAGAAACATCTTCCCCTGTATAAACAAAGTCGTCTGTCTGTTTAGGAGATGTTTAAACAGTTCCTAATGTCGGCCCACATTTAGGTAATATTCATGTGTCTGGTGTTTGGACTTTTCCTGCAGTTGGTGTGCATAAATATTGTCAGATGCTATCCCAGGGTGCTAGAGGCAAAGAGTTCTTGCTCTGCCTGGGCCTGACGTACATGCACAGCATATGTTTCACATCCCAGAGATAACGAACACAACGTGTGATTCAACAATTCTTTCTCAGTCTTTTTTTGTATTCCTTTTGTTTGACAATATCTCCAACTGATGCATTTCATGAAAAGTGAAATCAAATGAGGTAATGTTTATGAGCTCCTTCTCTTGAAACACAACACACCTCTTGAGTTAAAATATCCTCACCTGTTTTCTGTCAGCACACTTACCGAATATGGATGATGGATGGATGGATGGATGGATGGATAGATAGATAGAAAATGGTTTAAGATACTGAAAGTATATTCAGTATCTTAACACTTTTTAAATCATAATACATTTGAATATTCTCTAATATATACAAATCTACTCAACACATAAACATAGTGAACTTTTATACACTAAAATATGATGTACAGTAGCTTGAAATGGCCGTCTCTCCTGTTTCCTCCCATGAGAGAAAGTTCTTGAATGAGCATGCCAATCTTGTTTTGATTGGCATGAGACTCTCTCCCTTTCACACACAGCGGTTCGTGCTGCCGTTGTGTGTTCGCCGGCGGTGAAGAGGCCCGATATTGCACAGTAGAGTAGATCGGTCATTGGTGTACTTTATCCACTTCACTTGGCGTGATGCATGCCTCTCGTGACTCGCCGCTTCCCTGCGCTTCACTCGGCGCTGCACACGCCAAACAAAGCGTCAATTCTGCGCGTGACTGACATCCTCTGGGGAGAGAGATTGGACTGCTGCTACTGTATACATTTTGAGTTCAAATATCATTAGCTTTGTTGTATTCAGGTCAAGGCATGTTAGTGTATCGGACATACTGCCAGAGGGTCTCTCTCTCTCCTGCTTAGCTTGCAAGCTATTAAGCTGTATATACATTATATCTGTGTCCATGTGGTCTGATGGCAAACACACTGCATGTCTTCCAGGTCAGGCTTTTTGTGTAAGAATGTATGAATAATATACACTAAAGGCTATTTAAATGCATAGTCAAACGTACAGATACAATGGACTAATGCAGATTTTACACTGACATAAAGGATTTCAGACAATTTGGAAAAATACTCATTTGCAATATTTCGAATGATATTGCAACTGCGAAATTGTTCACGATATTCGAGAGATAAGTAATTTTTTTGATTAAACTTCTCATTGCCATTGAAACATGAATTTAGACTATTATAGTGCCATTTTTAAAGATGATCAGTTGCAAACAAATCTTATTTTGTTAAGTCCGTAGACTACGATTTGTATGCAGGTAAATCCCTGCTGATACTTCATTAAAAAAACTTTTTATCTAACAAATATTGTGCATCCTGCTATTTGAATATTGAGTCCATAATGCAATCTAAATATACAGTTATAGGGTTAAGGTGTCACTCTTCCTAATAGATATTACAATCACACAACACCAACAGCCCAACCTAGCTGCTTTCTCTGAGTGACATGCACACTCATTGCATGCCCTGCCTCTGTTTTCTCTTCAGCTTTCAGTGAGTGCGTGTGAGTGCGTATGTGTGTGTTTGCATGAGCATATGTTTGTTACAGTGCTTTTCCTTGAAAATCCTCCATAAATGTTTCTGGAGGCACTCTTGAAGCGTGACAGTGCTGTGCAGGGCCTTGGAGGTACATGTTGTGTATAATTGATGAGCATTAAATTAAGTGTAAACACTTTTGTTTTGTGCTCTTCTCATCATTTCAATCATAGATCTGTATAACCAAAAGCAATGTTATTTTTGTTTGGATAAATCCACGGCTGGTTGTGCTCTGAGGGATATTACGGCTGTTGGCTGGAATACATCTGACACTGTTAGTTCAGTCTATTAATCAGGGATGCTATGATTATTTCAGATGTGTGTTCGTTTGTGCTGATTATTTTGGTATGTTTATTTTAGGGTAGAGCTGTAACAATAAGGTCTTTAGACAGAAAAACAATTGCCAACTGTTTTGATTATCATTAATAGTTAAGTGATTTCTTCATGCAGAAATTGCAGAAATTGTTGTTTTCAGGCCCTTTTTTTAAATACAAAGATTTCCTGATTTAAAAAAAAAAAGAATTCAGTAAACTTAATGGATACATTAGTGTTTTTATCTGACAAGAAAAAATCAAAAATAAGGTGCAACCTTAGGGTTGGAGAAACTAAGACATATTTCACTTTTTTTGGCATTTTATATTGGAACATTCAAAGGCTTCATTGTCATATGCACAATAACTATAGTGTAGTTACAATGAAAATATTGTGTTCAAGAGACAGTGCAACTTACCAATATAATTAAAATATTAAGTATGTAAGTCAAATAGTTTAATAAACTTGTGAGAGGGACACCATAGTAAAAGTAAAATAAATCAAATGAATAGATCATTGTAATAAGGGTGTGTTGCAGTATGGTACTTTCCCCTTGGGATTTCTTGCTTGCCAAAGAGAGAGGGAGAGGAGGGCTGCTTCTAAGCCCGAGAGCAGATTTGTCCGTGTGGCTTTAAACACTTCACTGCATGTAATCTCCCACTTGTTTGTCTAATTGTAATAGGGTTAGGGACTTTGCATGTCCCGTGTTGGAGGTTCACTTTTCTCTTCGTACCTGTTGTTTGCTGTGAGCACCTATCCTGTTCATAGAGAATCAGTTCATGATGAGTTTTAGATTAGATTCAACTTTACAAGTACTAAGAAAACAAAATGTAGTCAGCATCTAACCAGAATTCCAAAACAAGTAGTGAAGAGTTATTAATAGTATAATGTATAGTCAGTATTTACACTACAACTCTATAAGGAGTTATACACACAATACATCATTTCTATCTGTATATATATGTCCCTCTAAAGGGTGACTAGAAAACAATAAAGGTTGGTCACAAAAGAAGGTGGTATAATCAGCAGAATAGAAATTCCATTTATTAGAGATCAGGTATAAAAGATGAATGCAGCTAATACAAACAGAATACATGTGAATACACTATAGACCGTTTTTGACATTTCCAATAGTATGAATAAATATGAGTATGCTTAAGAATGTTATTGTTTTCATGTGAGGAAGACTTTGTGCTGCATAGTGCTTTGTGTCCCCAGGAGGCAGTGTCACATCTCAGTGAGGGCCACCAGACACACATTTGACTCTGCTGTTGACCCTGTCTGCCCTGTGGGAGCAGCCGGCCTGTTTGTGTATACACTCTGTAGCACACCAGACTGAATGCTGTGTGTTTGCCAAAGTGTGTTTGTGCTGTGTGTATGTGTGTGTGATTATTGCGTGATGTACATTCACAGCATTCACAGCAGTAGGCCGTTGACCCTTTCCGTGCCAAATGAACCTAACATTTTTTTTTTGTCTCATTAGGACCCATTGAGTTTGAGGAGTGCAATACAGCTATTGCTACGGAAGGTACGTCTTATTACAAATACGTTATACAACAAATATTTCAACAAATGCACTAAAGTAAAGAATGTAATGTTTGAATCAAGTCGAGAGCAGATTTAAATGCATTTTTTCTTTATGGTTGATAAAGTGCTTTGGTTTTTTCGTATTAAGGTGCCAAACCAAGAAAGAGAAAACCATTCGGCATCCCAGGTCGAAGGAAAGATAAGGATACAGACTCGACGTAACCGAACATAACTTTAGTCCACCAACACAATTAATGCAACTTGTTTTAAATAAATCAGTCTCATCATGATATCATCATTCTATCTTTCAGGGAGTCTACAGAAGTGGAAGCTGCTGTGAGTATAATTTCAACAAAACACCAATTTAATTGATTTTTCAGTTTTGATTTCAAACAGGAGGAGGTGGGAGGGATCCTTTTGCATTCAATTGTCTTTCTCTCTGTGTGTGTTCCCTCCCTCCTGTTATTTTTGTAGATTGGCTCATTCATTCATCTCTCTGTGTTTGTGCTTGTAGAACACTGCCAATGGAGCTCCCCCTGGGTACTATGGGGCCATAGACATCCAGAACGCTGTAAGCAAGCCGATGCACACAGGAGCCAAATGTAGTCGTATCCAGACCTTTTGTATCATTCAAATCAAATATATTTGTAGAGCACATTTCTAAACAATGTGACAAAGTGCTTCACAATAAAAAGCTCTAACAAGTAACAATAAAACGCACTCTTTGTAAACCACAATAACTTAAAAAGTTAAATAGTGGAAACTTAGATGTTCCTTTTTTTCACTGTCCTTTATTACTTTGTATATCACATGATGATGCACTTTCCATCTATATGATAACAAACAACAACTGTTACTTGACAATTAGAGAACAAAATAAATAAAACGATGTTTAAAATTTTGACCTATGTTAAGATTCAGTGTAAAAGAGGGATATTTTGAATGGTATCATTTATAATGATATGTATTATGTATTGACTCATTTTAAGAATGTTTGGCCTACTCGCTGCCTAAAATGTAATTTGAAAAACATTTTATGCACAATAAGATGTGCACATTTTAAGTGTTGCTAAATACATTGTGGGTATTACTTTACCGCTTTAAAAGTGTACTGTATTTACAGAGGATACAAATATGATACATTTATTTAAAGTTTGTGTTAGAAATATACAATAATGTGATATTTTAAAACAACTTTCTGTTTTTGTGTTGCAGAACGTTCCCCAAGTTGATGCAGAGGGCTTCTGCATCAGACCGGAAGGAAATGAGAACGATATCCTTTATGCTTGTTTTGAAACTGTTTAAACTCTGAGGCTCCATCCAGCTCATCATCATCGTCATCATCATCATCGTCATCATCATCATCATCATC